AGCATGGCTTTGGAATTAAGACTGACCTGGGTTTGAATCTTAGCTCCCTCAATTAGCTGTCACATAAGCCCTACAATCCCTTGTGTCCTCATCTGTAAAATGTGGATAATAATACAAGGTTGTTTCGAGGATACAATATAAGAATTTATGTAGATCTCCTAGTACAATGCCTGGACCATTGTAGCTCTCAATAATGGCAGCCATTATTGATTTTACACAAAAGTATGAAAGCAGGCAAATGTATCACATATATAGTAAGTATATACGGTTTGAAAAGAGAATTCAAGGCAGTTAAAAATGTACAAATCAGTTAACAGTAAGCTCTTGGAACTTGGTGAGTTTGAATTTGACACCAACTAAATACTTCCGAATAGGGGAATGAGATAAACCAATACTGAAAGAAGGAGACTCTGATGATTAAGAGGAAAGTAAGGCAAGTGTGAGGATAGAACAGGTGACTATCACAGACTGTGCAGAAAGTGAAAGCCCATGTGTCAGAGTTGTGGTTAAGGGGTAAAAGGATAAAATAAAACCAGTCATAGGAAACAGAAGAATATCATACCAATACTGGTGACTCACTCATAGAAAGTTTCATTATTTCCCATAGACTTCCTGTATCAATGTTAATAATTAGGTATATTTTTGATCAAGATAAATAACATTATTAGGAGGAACCAAAAAACATAGATAATTTCAAAGAACTTTGACAGCTGTCTCATAATTTTAAAAAGTCTGTATTCTAAGGCTATTTATATCTACCAGTTGATTTTTGCAATTGGTTAGTAACCTTTATATATATCTAGACAAATGATTTGCATTTATATAGTTTTTTAAAAGCTCCAGAACAAATGCTAATATATATAGATTTTTTTTTTTTAAATTTTCAAAGCATTTAAAATCTATTACTGGATTTAAGACTTGGGATTTTTTTCTGTCTGCAAATTCTAGCTATAACAGGGGCTATCTTGATTTTTAAAAGCTCTGTAAATTTTCATTTTGTTGACTTACACCTACATTTAAGTACCTTGTATAGAGAAACAGAAGGCACAGCTCCTTTTTTCAGCTTTCTTCTTATGCCATATGACTCAAAGTCACTTTCTTGAAAATGTTTGGAACACAGTATAGCACCTGGTCCTGGAATCCAAATCTTTTTGCTTCTGGGGTCCACACGATTAACAGCCCTGATCCATTTTGAGCGCTGTATGGTATCAGTTGGAAATCTATGGCAATCAGATTAAAGTTCCATTAACATGAAAACATTATAGTAATACTGCAGTAGTATTTATTATATAAACCCATTTATTATTTTACTGCTTTATAGAAACATAAAGCCGAGTGAATTAAAAGTTTACTTAGTTTGTTTTTCAAAGTTCTTTGATTTTTTTAATCCACAAGTTCAATATCTGATCGTCTGTGTCAATCATAGAGGGGCAATTCTCATATTAAAAATCCTACTGTATTTTGTCTTCACTTCCTACACTTAACAGAATCTGCTCAAATTTAAATGGTTAAAGAATATATGACTCTTTTCCTTTCCCGTGGTGATTTTAAACTATTTGGTACTCCTTTTAAGAAGTGGAGCCTGGCCGGGCGCAGCGGCTCATGCCTGTAATCCCAGCACTTTGGGAGGCTGAGGCGGAAGGATCAGAGGTCAGGAGTTCAAGACCAGCCTGGACAACATGGTGAAACCCCGTCTCTACTAAACATACAAAAAATTAGCCGGGCGTGGTGGCGGGTGCCTGTAATCCCAGCTACTGGGAAGGCTGAGGCAGGAGAATCTCTTGAATCCAGAGGTGGAGGTTGCAGTGAGCTGAGATCGCACCATTGCACCCCAATATGGGCAACAAGAGTGAAACTCCGTCACAAAAAAAAGGTGGAGCCTAATTCGCCTCCCCGTGAGTGAGTATGGGCTAGAGTTAGTGATTTGCTAAGGAATGGAAAAAGAACATGTGACAGTAAGTGACCACAGACTATGTCATAAAGGAACAAGTTTTCCTCCTTGCTCCCTGTAGAGAATGGTTTGCTCTGGGGTAAGGTATCTGGCATGTTATAAGCAGTCCTGTGGAGAAAACTAGTTGGTGAGCAACTGAGGCCTCCAGTCAAAGGCCATGTTGAGTTAGTCTTTTTGAAAGCAGGTGACTTCAGCCTTCAGATGACTGCAATCTTATGAGATACCATAACATCCAGCTACACTCCTGAATTCCTGACCCTTAGAAATGTGTGAGATAATGTTTATAGTGAATTTTGAGGTAACTTGTTACGCAGCAGTAGAAAACAAGACAAGTATATTTACTATATTCAACTTTTTCATGTTTAAAGGCACTACTTTTTGCTAGCCCTGATTATAAAAATTACCTTGCATTTATTTATTTTTCAATCCAAGCCAAATTATATTTAGAAACTTGTCGGCTAGGCGTGGTGGCTCACGCCTGTAATCCCAACACATTGGGAGGCTGAGGCGGGCGGATCAGCGGGCGGATCACTTGAGGTAAGGAGTTCAAGACCAGCCTGGCCAACATGGTGAAACCCTGTCTCTAATAAAAACACAAAAATTAGCTGGGCATGGTGGCTCACACCTGTAATCCCAGCTACTAGGGAGGCTGAAGCAGGAGAATCGCTTGAATCTGGGAGGCAGAGGTTGCGGTGAGCCAAGATCGCGCCACTACACTTCAGCCTGGGCAACAGCAAGACTCCATCTCAAAAAAAAAAAAAAAACCAAAAAAAACACAAGAAACTTGTGAAATTAACACAATAAAAACCACAAAACTACTCTTTCTGCCCCCTCTTCTTTGACTTATTTTAGAGACAGATTTATAGGTAACTATGCTTTTTGTGCATTTTAATTTAGATTTTAAGGTACATAGTTACCAGAACTGAGATTGGTATAAATTTTATTTCTCAGTTAATTGCTACAAAAATATAGCAGTATGGTAAAACATAATTCTGAGATACTCTCTCAATCACCTTGAGAAAGAACACTGACTTGGAAAACCTGTTTTTAAGCTTTATAGCTTTAAAAGATCAGAACACTGACCTTTTTTACCAGCTATATGGTATTAGACACATCTCTCAATCTTAGAACTTCCTCATGGGGCTGTAGTAAGAGTGTATGAGGCTACGAATGTATTCAAAATCACTTTGTAAACTCTAAAGTACTATCCAAAGTTTGCGCTTTCCTAGGAACAACTAATTCCATTTCTGGGATTACAATTTTATTGTTCCAGGAAGATGATGATACTTGATCAAGGGAAAATGAACAGGGAATTCTTTTTCCAATAAGGTTGGAGCAAATCTATCTTTTTTCACTGAGTTATTTTTTAACTCATGGAACATATTTGCAAGGGAGCTTTTCCACAGATTTGGTATAGTCTCTAAATATGCAAGCAACCCTCAAAAGTTGGCTGGTCCAACAACTTCTATTACTAGCGTGGTCCTCTGATGCAAAGCTTCCCAACTGGTATGCCTAGTGAGTACAGCTGTTGATATTGGCCTGGGACACCTGAGTAGTTACTTCAAGGCAGCCCCAAAGAGTGCTGCAAGTTTGCCCCCAAAGTATTGAACAATTATTTCCTATGCGTAAAATGCTATGAAAAAGGCTGGGGCTGGGCAGCGTGGCTCATGCCTGTAATCCCAGCCCAGAAGTTGGAGACCAACCTGGGCAACACACTGAGACCTCTTCTCTACCAAAAAAAAAAAAATAGCCGGGGTGGTGGCCTGTGCCTGTAGTCTCATGAGGCTGAGGTGGAAGGATCACTTGAGCCTGGGAGATAGAGGTTGCGCTGAGCTGTGATACTGCCACTGCTCTCCAGCCTGGGCAACAGTGAGACCCTGTCTCCAAAAAAAGGAAAAACAAAAAAAAAGAAGAAGAAAAAGGTTGGGAAATATTGTAGTCTAACTAGCATAATTAGTTTTGAGTTCTGGAAAAAATTAAATTGGTAATAATACCATTTTTAAAGCATTTACCTTATGCTCTACGTATGCTATAAAGTCTTACGTTTGGGTTTTACAAAACTCTACAAGGCAGGTTTTTATTCCTCTTACAGAAGAAGAAACCAAGACCCAGAGCTAAGTACAGAGATCAGTAAATAATCAATTAAAATTGGAATTCATGTCTCCCTAGTTTAAAGCTACCTCTATCACAAGAAAAATCCCAAATCAATTATCGTCTCACATACAGAATGAATTGGTTCACACTGTTAACAATTTAGGTGGAGGGATCAGCCTTATTTAAAACATAAAAAAAAAAAAAAAAAAATCAATGAATTTGATACACAGCCTACCATACATAATCCAAACTCCTTAACCTGGCATTTAAATTTTTTAAATGACTTGTCTCTCAGGTACTTTCCCATTCCTCTATATTTGCACTTTCTATCCTTTACATTTTCCCATGCCATTCCTAACTACCCTCTTCCTAAACCCATTTTCCAACCATAAAGTTCTTTTTGATCGTTCCATAAATCTGCTCCTTTTGTCTGGGATGATCTCTTTTACCCACTTTTCTACTTGCCGGTACACTCTGAATACTGATTTGAATGACCTATAGCAGTCTGAACCATGGATAAGTTCAGATAAGACTGGTCTGAAATTCTTCCCCATTGTCGAGCCAAATGAAACTTCCCCATGATCAAATCCAACCAGAATCGGACCGGCCTTGTAGAGCTCGGCTAATAGCACTTAAGAACTTTCAATGTCTGCCAGTACAGGAGAAAACTGATCTGTACTCGTGCTCAGGAACACGCCACACACTTCAACCGTTGTGCCAAACTGCCTTCCCTTCCGGCCTCCTCACTTTAAATAATAAGACCATCCAATTAATGGAGGACTCCTTTCGCGTAACTCTCGCTACAGCGGTAAGCGGTGCGAGACCCGGCTACAAAGAGGTCAACACTGAGCGAGGAGAGAGAACCTCAATTCTCACAGTGCCCCAACGCCGCTCCCACGCCCCGACGCTGCGCACGTCACGTCGCGTCACATCCACGGCACGACCCACAGTGCGGCCCGGCCCCGCCCCACGCCGCGCTACGGCCCGCCGGGCCCCGCAGGGAGTTCGAAGGCTCCGAGGCTGCTCCCATACGCACTGGTGGAAGGAGAGGCCGCGCTCCCGGCTGAGCACGGTGTCACGGGTGCTGCAGCCCACTGCGGAGCAACTTCGGGTCATCTTCTTGTTACGTGGGGCCCCACCTTCGGGGTTCCCGCGACAGCATGAATCACGACCACTTTAGCTCCGCCCGTTGACTGCGGCTACGACCTTTATTTGTCAGGAAAGGCGGGCTTTAGAGGCGCGGGACTTCCACACTTCCTCTCCGAAGGCCCTGCGCCGGTACCGTAGCCAATCACAGGCCACGTTATGTCGCAGCAGCCAATCGGAAGGGCCTGAGCCTGAAGACGTGCACTTGACCGCTCCTCCTTCCGCGTTGGAGGCCCAATAGTGGGTTGTGCTGCCACAGGTTCATTTTCCTTCTGTTTTCACCCATTCTGGCACAATCCGCCGCCATCGTCGTTCTTTGTGAGACCGAGCCTGAAAATGCGAAGCAGAGAGGCAGGACCAAAATTGAGGCGAATCCGGGAACCTGCCAATGGGTCTCCGGATGCGTTCTCTGAAACTGGAGGATATCGGGAGGAAAGGGTATGGAAAAGAGATAAAACACGGTGCCCTAGGTATGTTGAAGACAGAGTCGGGCCCAAAATACATGATTTACTGAGATGCGTGTCGTGTTCTTGCGCTTTATCTTGTAGCTCTCCGATGCGGAGATAATGCGGAAACTCTTGGCATGGTTGGCTGTAGGTACCTGATACGGGAGGAGCGGGAGTCAAATAGGATACGCCGACTTTTAATTCGAGGAACCCTTTTCTGAAACACTGCCACAATGAAGGACATAAGGTAAGGTTCTTGGGGCTCATCAGTAGTAATAGGGGCAGGGGACAAGGGGCAATTAAGTGGTTTTGGTTGGGAATGAGGCGTTATGGATAGCTTTCAGGAGAAAAAGCTTAGAACAATGTCTTAGTTATAAGCCCTTATGTTTGAGGAAGAGATTTCAATTTGCTTAGAAGGAAACAGGCAGCGTGTTTTTGTCTCTGAAGAGATCCTTAGCATACAGAAAACAGAAGGGTTTGCAACTTTTCCGTTTCTTTGTATAGCACACAAAAATAATTCCAAATATCCAGGCCTAACAAGATTGCTTCTTTTTCCCCTTTGTGTTTACTTTGTCCTGATTACAGCCGAAAAGACACATATTAAGGTATTATTTATTCACACCAGTTTTCCACTAAAATATGTTTATGTCTTCTTTGGATGGAATTAATAGCTTTTGGTTATGGTTCCTTAAAAGTCACATGGCCTAAGGATAGTCAAGGAACTTTGGAAAAATTTGTCCCTGGGGGATGTGCAGGGAAAATACTTTTTGGCTGTAAGATGTGTGCAGAGAGTAGGAACTGGATTTAAATACTGTAAGTTGGTTGGGCTGTTAGAGCCTTTTCCTACTCAACCAATTAAGACCTGAATGAGGCTGAATAAAAATACATTGTTTTTAGCTGTCTTTAAGGGAAAAATCAGTTGCCTTGTATTTTTGTAACAGTTTTATTCAGATATAATTCTCATACCATACAACTAACTGGTTTAAACTGTTCAATTCAGTGGGTTTTAGGATATGCACAGAATTGTGCAATAGTCACAATCAATCTTGGAACATTTTCATCACTCCAAAAAGAAACCTCATTTTTTTTTTTTTTTTTTTTGAGACATAGTTTTTCTCCGTCATCCAGGCTGGAGTGCAGTTGTGCGATCTTGGCTCACTGCAAGCTTCGCCTCCCAGGTTCACGCCATTCTCCTGCCTCAGCCTCCCAAGTAGCTGGGACTACAGGCGCCCGCGACCACACCCGGCTAATTTTTTGTGTTCTTAGTAGAGACGGTTTTCACCATGTTAGCCAGGATGGTCTCGATCTCCTGACCTCGTGATCCACCTGCCTCGGCCTCCCAAAGTGCTGGGATTACAGACGTGAGCCACCGCGCCTGTCCGAAACCTCATTCTTATTAGCAGTACCTCCAAATATTCCCCCACCCCGCTTCAGCAACCACTAATTTACTTTGTGTGCCCATGCCTGCTCTGTACACTTCATGTAAATGGAATTATAAACTAATATATGGTCCTTGTGATTGGCTTCTTTCACTTGGAATGTTTTCAGAGTTCATCCATCTTATAGCACGTATCAGTACTTTATTTTTTATTGCTGAATCGTATTCCATTTTATGGATGTAGCAGATTTTGTTTATCTGTTCATCAGTTGGAGGGCATTTGGGTTTTTCCTTTTTTTTTTTTTTTTTTTCCACCTTTCTTTTTTTTTTTTTTTTTTTTTTTTTTTTTTTCCAGTAGAGATGAGGTCTGTACAAGTTTTTGTGTGGACAAATGTTTTCATTTTCCTGATTACACACCTAAGAGTGAAACTGGTGAGTCATAAGGTAACTAACTGTGTTTAACTTCTTGAGGAAGTGCCAGATTATTTTCCCTAGTGGCTGCAACATTTTACATTCCCACCAGCAGTGGATGAGGCTGTCAGTTTCTCCACATTTGTGGTGTGAAGTGACTGTCTCATCGTGGTGTTTACCTTTTCTTAAGAACTCAAAATTTGTTTGCAGATACAGGCCTTCACTTGCCATTTTCTTAAGGTAGAGTTGAAAAGTACTGCTGCCAGTTCATCATCTGAAATGAGGGCTGTTTTCTTTCCTGTTTAATTGGATTGTAACTATTTGCCTTTCCTAAAGTTGAAACAGTGTGCTTCCACATTATTCTGACAACATGCCTTTATTATATTCAAATCAGTTTCTGAAAACTGCTTTTATTAGAACAGATTTACTTAAATGAAGGCAATAGCCGCAAGGGGTTACTGCTGTAGATATTTACTTCTGGATAGGAAATAAGTAATCCTATCTTTACATTTGTTTATAACTTATATATGCTTTTTTTGTTGTTGTGATTGTTTATTTTATTGTTGATATTGAAGTTCTCAATTTGATCCTTTGGTTATATCGTTGCTTCTTCTAGTAACTTCATATCCAGTGATTAAACCTTTTCACTGCTGTTCACATAATGAACTGTTGTGATTATTGAATATTAAATGAGGATATGTAAGCTGTATTAAAGATAGTGTTATTTGCAAAGGCATTGACTATTGCACAAAAAATTTTAAAAGAAAATATCTCTTTCCAGGAGTCATGCTCAGAGATGTCAAGAAAAGATACATGGGTCTTGGAAGATAATTACTCAAAATATGCAGGGGAAGGTAGTATATTTTTCTATTCTAAATGTGTTAAGTATTCCTGGAACTATAGCAGTGAGTTGGAAATGGAAGATTGTCCAAGTAAAAAACATTTATAAAGGATTTGATGAAATCTAATTACCTATTTTATGGTATAGAATCTTATTAATTGTCCACTTGGAAAGAATAATAAATTATGTATTGGCCCATTACTATGGGCCACACATTATGCTGAGCTTTTTATTATTTTATCTTATTTTTTTGAGATGGGGTCTCACTCTGTCACCCAGGCTGGAGTGCAGTGGCACAATCTCAGCTCACTGCAACCTCTGTCTTCCAGGCTCAAACAATCTTCCCACCTCAGCTTCCTAAGTAGCTGGGACCATAGGCATGTACCACTACACCTGGCTAATTTTTTTTGTATTTTTGGTAGAGACAGGGTTTTGCCGTGTTGCCCAGGCTGCTAAGCTTTTTATATAGAGTACATAGAAAGAGTTGGTTTTCTTAAACACTGTTTATTTCTTATAATAGCTATGAAAGCAGATACAGACTTCTTGCTTTCTAGGGTTGGTATCTTGCTTGTTGAGCACCTACCCCTTTTGTCTTGCCAAATTTTTCATTGTTTGAGTTCTGTCTTTTGTTTCAGAAAGCCATGGAGTTTTGAAATTATTGTTAAATCATTATTTGTTACATAATTATTTCTACTTCTAGAATCTCATGCTAACTTGGAAGTGTCTTCTCAGCATCAAGCCTGATATGGAGGGGCAGCTACACCCTAATGTACTCCAAAACTAGTTATGCTTTGTTTTATACGTAATGCTTCTATTATTAGACAAGTGGTTTCCAACTATTAGAAGCAGTGCTAAGACTTAAAGGAAAAGGGGGAGTGTTTTTTCTTCTAACAGAACTTTTGAGCAGTGATGAAAGTAAAACAAGAAGACTCAAAAGATTACAAATCTTGGCATGAATTAGTATTCTGCCAATTAGAAACATTCTGATTGCCTGACAAGGTCTATTGCTGATGTGGAGTAGAAGCCTGTGGGAGGTCGGGGTGGAAGCAGCAAAAGGGAAAGACAAGCAAGTAGTAAAATGTATTCATCACAGTGGATAAAAATCCACTTTGGGGGAAAAAGTCAAACTCCTTTAATGGTGCTGTACATCTGTACCTTTACTCCATCCTATCGCAAATATTTGTATAACTGCACAGAAGAAATTGGACAATATTCGTTGAAATAGTCATAGAAAGTTCAACTTTCCAAGTTAGTACCACCCCAAGGAAAATTATATGAGTAGGGATACTTAATTTCTAGCCATACTCTAGTTCTAATCAGCTTCTCTAATGTGCCACCACACCTGGCTAATTTTTTGTACTTTTGGTAGAGAAGGGGTTTTGCCATGTTGCCCAGGCTGGTAAGATTTTTATATATAGTATAAAGAGTTGGTTTTCTTGGCCAGGCATGGTGGCTCACACCTGTAATCCCAGTACTTTGGGAGGCTAAGGCAGGTGGATCACCTGAGCTCAGGAGTTCAAGACCAGCCTGGCCAACATGGCGAAACACCATCTCTACTAAAAATACAAAAATTAGCCAGGCGTGGTGGCATGTACCTGTAACCCCAGCTACTTGGGAGGCCAAGGCAGGAGAATCACTTGAACCCAGGAGGTGGAAGTTGCAGTGGGCCAAGATTTGCCACTGTACTCCAGCCTGGGTAACAGAGCACGACTCCGTCTCAAAAAAGAAAGAGTTGGTTTTCTTAAACAATATTTATTTCTCTTAATAACCCAATGAAAGTAGATACAGACTTCTTGCTTTTTAGGGTTGGTATCTCACTTGTTGAACACCTACTCTTTTGTCAGATGCATAGCAGGTTAACAAAGTCAATAAAGTGATATACTTGACATTGTTCTGAGTTTTTTTTCCCAATTATAGTAAAATTGGAGGTCTTAACTGTTCTACATTAGATAAATATACACATTTGTTTTAAAGAGCTAAGCAATGAGAATCTTATGAGTAGAGCTGAAGTTCAAGAAATAAATGTCCAATGATTAAACTTTTTCCACTGCTGTTCACATCATGATTTGTTGTGATTAATGTATGTGGATGAGGACATAAAAAAAAAAGAAAATGGTGAGGCTTGTATATATTGTGTTTCTGCACAATGAGTTCCTTTGAATGTTTTTCGTTTTAGGAATAAAATTGAAGGGTGTTTTTCTTAGAGAACATCATTTGTCATATTTATTTGATCAAGAAGTTGAAGATTTATGTAATAAGGTATGGGACTTACACATTTATTTTGATAAAAGAACACAAAAAAGGTCAGGTATGAGTAGAAAATTCACATTTATTTGAGTCTAACGTGGATACTGTACTCTGAATTAAAATTTTCTTTTTGTTACTCTTCCAGCTTTTAAAGATAATAAGTATTATTTCAAAATAGTATTTTTTAAATTAATAGATTCAATTCAGGAAAGGCATTGGAGGGGGTGGAGCTTTTAACTTTGACAGTCTCACTCTGTTGCCCAGGCTGGAGTGCAGTGGTGCAATCTCTGCTCACTGCAATCTCTGCCTCCTGGGTTTAAACAGTTATTGTGGCTCAGCTTCCAAAGTGGCTGAGATTAGAGGCGCATGCCACCATGCCCAGCTAATTTTTTTTATTAAATAGAGACCAGGTTTTGCCATGTTGGCCAGACTGGTCTCAAACTTCCAGCCTCAAGTGATCCGCCTACCTTGGCCTCCCAGAGTGCTGGGATTATAGTCATGAGCCACTGCACCTGGCTGTTGGTTATCTTTTCTTAGAAATAATGATGTAATCTTTTCAGCACCTGAATTCTTAAAGATCCAAGGTTTACAAATGACTCTTGGATATGCCAAGGATGACTATCCTATAACTTAAGGAAGTCAGGAACAGTAGAAAAGAAGGTGATAGGAAACTAGGAATCTTAAAACTAGTTCTGTCATTAATTAGGCTTGTTATTGTGGGTATTTCTCAAATTTAAGAAATATGAGGGGTCTTGAAAAAGTTCATGGAAAATGCATATCATGAAAAAACTGCATGGATTTCAAAATTTTTGGACCAAAATAAACTCCTACTAACTTGTTATAACATGTTTGAACAGGATCTAGTTTGAAGCACTAAGAAGAATAAGACATCAGTTTGAAAAGAGGCTCTGTCAGAGCAACACGAATTCTGCTAAAATTGAAGGAAGAACAAACATCAAATATATGTTGACACTTGGGTGGAAGAATGGTGAGCTAATTGATGCTTTATGAAAAGTTTATGGGGACAATGCTCCAAAGAAATCAGTTTACAAATGGATAACTCGTTTTAAGAAGGGATAAGGTAATGTTGAAGAAGAAGCCCACAGTGGCAGATCATCCACATCAGTTTGTGAGAAAAAAATTAGTTCATGGCATAATTGAAGAAAACCAACAGTTAACAGCAGAGACGACAGCCAACACCATAGACATCTCAGTTGGTTCACCTTACACAATTTTGACTGGAAAAGTTCAGCAAACTTTATACCTGATAGGTACCAAAACCACTGCACCCAGATCAACTACAGAGAACAGAACTTTCAATGGAAATTTTAAATAAGTGGGATCAGGATCGTGAAGCCTTTCATTGAAAAATTGTAACAGGAGATGAAACATGGTTTTACCAGCGCAATCCTGAAGACAAAACACAAAGCAATGTTACCAAGATAAGAAGTAGTTCAGTCAAAGCACAAGTGGACTGGTTGAGAACAAAGATCATGGCAACAGCTTTTGAATGCTCAAGGCATTTTGCTTGTTGACTTTCTGTAGGGCCAAAGAATGGTAACGTGCTTATCATGGGAGTATTTTGAGAAACTTAGCCAAAGCTTTAGCAGAAAAATGCCCGAGAAAGATCAGAGAGTTCTTCACCACAACAATGTTCCTACTCATCCCTCTCATCAAACAAGGGCAATTTTGCAAGAGTTTTGATGGGAAATCACTAGGCATCCACCCTACAGTCCTGGTTTGGCTCCTTCTGACTTTTTGTTTCCTAATCTTAAAAATTTTTTTAAGGGCAGTACATTTTTCTAAAGTTAATGTAAAAACACTGCATTGATGTGGGTAAATTCCCAGAACTCTCAGTTCTTTAGGGATGGACTAAATTTTATAGCTGGTATCATCACTTACAAAAGTGTCTTGAACCCTATAGAGCTAATGTTCAGAAATATCGTTTATATTTTTATCTTTTAATTCCATTTTTCTACAAACTTTTTGAAGTCTCCTTGAATATGTACCCTTTATAAAGGGGAAAAATTCTGTGACTAATGTTGACTTAATGCTGACTTAATTTTCTATTTTGTAAATATATACAAACATAAAAGTTGATACAAATTTTGTTCATAGCCCTTAACAAATTTGTGAAATAAATGCATTCAGAAACAAACTAAAACATTAATGAAATGGATGCTACTGTTTTACTGAGGTGTAAACATAGTACTGGCTGCTATGGAAACAGTTACATAAACAGTCATGTGCCTTGTGATGATTGTTTTGTCTACAACTTCGCTCTTTGCAGACCGCAAGACTATTGAAATGAGGGGAAGGGATCTGAATTCCCGAAAGAATGTCAAGTGGGCATCGAGGCTTATGCCTATAATCCTTGCACTTTGGGTGGCTAAAGCAGAAGGATCCTTTGAGGCCAGGAGTTCCAGACCAGTATGGGTGACAAAATGAGTCCCTGTCTCTACAAAAAATAAAATAATCAAGCATGGCCATGTCCCTATAGTCCTAGCTACTTGGGAGGCTGAGGTGGGAGGATCACTTGCACCCTGGATGTTGAAGCTGCAGTGAGCTGTGATCATTGCCACCACACTCCAGCCTGGGTGACACAGCAAAAACCTGTCTCTAAAAAAAAATGAGAATATCTTTGTGCTATGAAATCCTAATTTGAAGAATTCGTCATTAAATTCTCTCCAAACATTCTTCTAGTGAGCAATTCAGTTTTTATTTGATTCAGGATTAGGCTTGGATAGTAGTTAACGAAATTGGATTACAACTGTTTTGTGAACTAGAGTTTTTTTTTAGATACAGGCAGTCCTTGCTTTGCAAAGTTCCAATATGCATACATGCCAGTTACCACAATTAAGTTAAATAAAACCAGTCCAACAATGTGGTTAATAATTCCATTACCACAGTACTGAGAAAACTTGCATAAATTTTGCTGCTAGCTCTTTAGTCCACAAATCGTTGTGCCCCCCACCTCCGCCAAAAAAAGGTGTGCATCATGATCAGTGGCCAGTTACGTTCTTTCAAAGTTTGTTGGTGATTTGTTACTGATCCATCAGTTCATGCACAGATAGCAAAGCACAAAGTGCATAGTAGTGTTGCCTCCGTGACCCCAGAGATTAAACTTGTGACCATTTACAGAAATGGATAATCAAAATAGGTAATTGGTCAACAAAGGACAGGGCAGCAAAGAAAAGTGATAACGCTGGAAGTGAAATTGGATGTGATTAGAAGATTTGAAAGTGGTGACAGCAAAGCAAAGATAGGTTGAGACCCAGACCTGCATGAAGCTGTAATACAGGCCTATTGAAAAAGTATGATAAATGTAAAAAGGTAAACTTGCTTCAACGTCTTTCAGTTTTAATTGCACTAGGAACAGAAAGCTGCTTGCGGTTGAAATGGAGCATTTACTTGTTTGAAGACTAATCAAAAACAAATCCCAATCAGTTTGACTAGCATTCAGGCCAAAGTGATAACCTTAGTTACTGCGTTGAAAGAAAATGGTAATTAGAAGACTGAAAGAAAATACATTACTACCAGTAAAAGCTGGGTTCATTATTTCAGAAGTTGGCGTGAATTAATGTTAAGCTATCTTACGAAGCTGCAAGCTTCATATGGAATGTTACAGAAGATGTAGCTGACTGGGAATGTTGACACTGCTGCTGTTCAAGAGGCAGGATCCTGCTTTAGCCACCCAAAGTGCAAGAGTTGGCTTTGAATGCTAGGTGTAATGAGAAAATAACTTGTCTAGAAGTTAGGAGACCTGGGTTGAATCCAGTTTCTGGTAGTTTAGCAAGTGATTTTCCTTTGGCTTTACCTCGCTGTAAAATAATTCCTCCCTAAACTAAAAGTACACCCAGGCAACGCATCTAATTAGATTTGAAGCTCTGGGGAAACTAGTAACAGCGGAAGGCGAGTGCTACGGGGTCTCAATACCATGGGATAGTAACAAGTATGAAAGGGTACTAATTGATAACACCGTAACACCCCATCTATGCCTCTCTGTTCACAATAGCCTTTGGGTATGCCCAGATAGTTTCGCTTTGTGTAAGTTCTCAAAATGCCAGAATGTGTAATCAAGTGGGTAATTTTAAGAACTCGGTCACAAATTACAATAAAGCTCTTGCAGCCCAATTTTCCACGTGGTTTGGCTCGGGCAGTGTCGCCAGGGGCTGCAGACGCCTCACAGGACTAGTGCTACGTGGCGTTCCTGCGGACCACAGCGGTTATTCGGCCGGACGGAGACACCCTCTGCACTACTCCTTTACCTGCTAGTCCTGGCTACCGCATCCATATTCTGCGCGCCGCCCCTCAGAAAAGGGTTTCTACATTCGCGCGGGCGCGATGACCGCAGAGCGCGCCCAACCCGCAGAGCCATACCCTGCACCCCAGCCTACCGCCGGTCCCGGAAGTGCCATGGCTGGCCGTGCGTCGGGGTGGGCGGAGAGAAATGTTGCTCCCGGAAGTGTTGGGCGGCAGGGCGTGGCTGCGGCTGCGGCTGCCACGTTGGAACGGAACGTGGAGGTGGCCCTGGCCCGGGAGGAGGGGCGGCGGCGAATGCTGGGAGACTCCGACGGGCGCTGCACTAACGCAGGATCCGGCTGCTCAAGGTCCTTGCCAGGTGTGTCCACCCGTTGCTTTTTGTCCTCTTCGCCGGTCGTTAAGCCTTGAGGTAGAGCCCAGGCCAAAACTGGGACCGCAGCCTGGGTCTCCGCTGCCCCGCGCCAGCCTGAGGCCCGGTCTCTGGTGACGGCGCGCCCCCAGTCTTGGTTTCGGGCCCGGCGGAACAACGCCTGGCGTCTGGACTCCTTCAGTGATCGCGCCCGTCCGCATCCGCCGACGTCTCCACTGCTGAGCAAAAGCCACCCGAGGCTGGCGACGGTGTCTTGCCGGGGAGTCGTAGCCGAGCTGGTAACTGGAGTTTGAGGTTAGGAGACTTTCAGACCCTTGTGCACAAAGAGGTGCGGTCCCCGAGGGTGAGGAAAGGAAAAAAATCTAAGGATTACTTTGGTTGACTTTAGTTTGGTTAGGATTTGTTTGTACTTGAACTGTTGCTAGATTTATGGTTAAAGGTTCATAGGTTTGAACTGACGTCTACTGTCATTTAACTAGGATTGGATTATTTTAAGGACAGTGGTAGCCAGGCGCAGCCTGTACTTTGAGGGCAGTCTCATTAAGTGTTACATGTTTTTGCTAATAAGTTGTTAAATTACGGGGCTGTTGTAAAATAAACCAAAATATTGCCTGGACTTGTGGGCATTATAAAATTTTCCTTGCGCTTAAGGAACTAATTTTACATAGGGCTTTTTGAAGTTGCAATGATCTGATAGTCTGTGACAAATCCTTTCTCCTATTTTTTTCTAACTATAGAAAACTGAAATTTGGTTGTCTTTGTGGGCAGTTATAACTGTATTTAATCAGTAAAGCTGTGTTCTTGTTATAGCGTCTAGCGTTTTCTGTACCTCCAATTATTCAAGGGTTGGCAAAAGCTTACACTCCTTTTTTGTTTTTGTTTTGTTTTTTTGTTTGTTTTTGTTTTTTTGAGACGGAGTCTCGCTTTGTCACTCAGGCTGGAGTGCTGTGGCGCGATCTCAGCTCACTGCAACCTCCGTCTCCCGGGTTCAAGTGATTCTCCTGCCTCAGCCTCCTGAGTAGCTAGCTGGTATTACAGGCGCCCGCCACCACGCCCGTCCAATTTTTGTGTTTTTGGTAGAGACTGGGTTTCACTATGTTGGTCAGGCTGATCTCGCACTCCTGACCTCAAGTGATCCGCCCGCATTGGCCTCCCAAAGTGCTAGGATTACAGGCATGAGCCACCACGCCCAGCCTACTCTCCTTTAGTGGTTCTTCTGTGCTTCTTGTTTCTCAGTATTCCTTAATTACAGCTCAGGGAGAGGTTTGTAGACTCCAAGAACTTTTGGATAACTCGTGGTGTTTTTGTAGTTTTGTAGTGATTTTATCTTACATATGTCCACGGTTATTTGTGAAACTTGAAATTTAAGGTAGATTTAGACTAATATTGCTTAATTTTATATAGGCAAATTCTTTATTGAAACTAATAACGTGGGAATAGAAATAAATTTGTAAACTGTGAAGAGCAATGATTCACAATTTTGGGGGGATTTCACTGTCTTATGGGAATCTAATGAAAGCATTGGAAGAATGCACATATGCACACGTAGGATTTTCTTTTTTTTTTTATTTTACTTTTTTTTTTTGAGACAGGGTCACTCTTTGTTGCCCAGATTGGAGTGCAGTGGTACAGTCATAGCTCACTATAACCTTGAACTCTTGGACTCAAGAGATCCTCCCTCCTCAGCCTCAGAAGTAGCTAGGAATATGCACGTGGCGCACAGCTCTTATTTTTTATAGGGATGGGGGTCTCACTATGTTCCCCAGGCTGGACTCAAGCTCCTGCTCTCAAGTGACATGTAGGATTTTCTGTGTACATAGTATTATGAAGTTTACAAGTTAAAAACTCCTGTAAGGGGATATTAGTAGATTGATTTACATTGATTACATTGTTTTTAGAAATGTCATTAGGTTAATTTCAGCTCAAAAAGTTTTATTATACTGAAGATTAATATGACACCAATTAGTTCAGTAACCAGTGCACAGTTACTTTCTCCTTTGATTTGGTTTGGGTTGAGTGAAATGAACCTAGGACATTGAAAATAATAAATCCTCTGAACAATTGTTTCTATCCATATTGAGATATTTTGCCCACAGAAAATGGATTTTTACTAAAAGCAATGCCAACTAGGGATTGTATACCTGGTTTGGGAATCAAAGTTCCAATTCTATTACCTCTTTAACTTTTTACTTGCTTTCTGAGGTATGGGTCAGCTCTATATAGCATTGTAAGGTTGGTACTTTTCAAAGAATAGTGCTGTTGGGTTTTAGTATTGCTTCAGAAAATTTACATTTTGAAAATGAGCAGAAAGAAAAAAGTTTCCACCTAATTGAATGCAATTATCGAGAGAAAGTTGCATGAAAAATAAGAGTTCTAGTCTGGAATATAAATATTCCTCAATAAATCTTTTTTTTTTTTTTTTTCTGAGACAGAGTCTTGCTCTGTCTCCTAGGCTGGAGTGCAATGGCACGATCTTGGCCCACTGCAAACTCCGCCTCCTGGGTTCAAGCGATTCTCCTCCCTCAATCTCCTGAGTAGCTGGGATTACAGGCATGCGCCACCATGCCTGGCTAATTTGTGTATTTTTTAGTAGAGACAGAGTTTCACCATGTTGGTGAGTCTGGTCT